AACTCGAGGCGTATGGTGGGATTTGAACCCGCGTAGTAGAGAAGGCCTTTACTGGAAGCCAACGCTCTAACCGCTAAGCTACAAAAGCTACAAAGCTACAAAAGCTCACCTCGCGCCATGAATTTAAAAAAAACTTGGGTCGATATTACCCGCCCAAATTTACCGCTCGTATGGAATCAACCAATACGGAATTGCAAGCTGACCCAAGTGTTATTAAATTCATGGCGCCAGGTGGGGCGTTTTTAGCTCAGTGGTTAGCGCGTTGGCTTCCTGTAAAGGCCTTCTTTACTACGCGGGTTCAAATCCCGCCGAACGCCCCGAGTTTTTTCACAATTAAACAAATCTGCCAAACCTTCTAATAACTAAAAAGTCGATTTTCTCACTCCTCTATTTCAATACCGCAGCATAGTACAGATAATGTAATCTTCGTGCGTTTTACGCCATTAATCATAACTTTTCTATGTGATTCAAATCTGCCATACCTCCTAATAACTAAAAAGTCGATTTTCTCACTCCTCTATTTCAATACCGCAGCATAGTACAGATAATGTAATCTTCGTGCGTTTTACGCCATTAATCATAACTTTTCTATGTGATTCACAGAGCATCCACTAAATTTTATTGAGCTAAACTATAAGGGTCTTTTGCGGGCATCACATGCTACTGTTTTCGTAATTCCCTCTCCTGACGACGCACATTATAATCACCTCGATCCCCCATTTTTCTTCAGGATACGAGCCTGCAAGCTGACCAGAAGGCCACCAAATGTTTCCAGAACGAGTTAACACGTCTAACTTCAGACAACCTGACGCTGCGTGAACAGTTGGAAACTACAAATACGCATTACCGGAAGGTGAGTGTCGATTTCTTCACGGCGTGAACTTACAGGTTTTGTCGCTTCGCACCCATACGCGTGCCTAGCGAGCTTATCGCTGTGGCTTAAGTTAATGAGCAAAAACTCTTGCTACTGCGATCTTCAAGCCTGGTTCCGAGGGGAAGAGAAAGATTGAGACGCCAGGTGGGCGGAATAGTATATTCTGTATAGAGGTAGTGGAGAATAGGTTGGAGGAAGTTAGCAGCCGGACGAGTGTACAACCACCCGCGAGGCGGTCGCTTTCCAAAGTGTATAAGCGTGGCAGTCGTCACAGTGAGGTCCTGTGTGAGTCAATCTTGAAGGTGATTGGCCAGCGCGGGTTGAGATTGACAAGAACTGGTGCTTGCCACTTGCTACCAGCCGTGGAAGGCAAGCATTGTGCGCAGATTGGGGTCACTGCAAGCCTACCCCACTCAGGCAGTAAAGGATGGTTCAACGTGTACTACGGGACCGGGCGTCTAAATGAAGGAGAGGAGAACGCCAAACTAGTACTATTCATTGTGTTTGTTGGGGCCAGCATTAGTTGCCGGGTTAGATGGGCCTCACAATAGTTTGTTGTGCCGACACGTAAGCGTGGCTTGTGAGAGCCAGTGGCTTTACGTCACGCCGACCACTATGTGTGATGTCATTCCCAGCTGACCTGACCCACTTTTTTAACAGACCTTCAGGACGGCTCGGCACCACCTTTCATGACCACAGTAAAACTGATGCATTCTTAAATTACTGCCGCGTATAAATTTATCAGTTGACCCAACAAATCATTTCTACTACGGCCAACCAACTGTTGTACGATCCCATCAGCCCAGCAATTAATGCTAACTCCGAAATGAACACTATGGATAGAGCTAGGTTGGCGTTTAATACGGTTACCTATTTCACGCTTTTGTGTCCTCTATTCCTT